ATTGAAGGTGCAGTCTACTTTGTTGTGAATCTCAGCCATTTTCTTATCACCAGCTGCTTGACCGTGTAGAATCTGCTGAAGCATTTGTTTCATCTCTTGATCTTGTGCAGGTGGAGCTTGTTGTGTTTGCTGTGTATAACCGGGTGGTGGATTCTGTTGGTGAAAACCTCCACTGAATTGCTGCTTTGGGACAAAGCCTTGATTGTATGGTACAAATGGCTTTGACTGGTTCTGTTGTTGTTGAGGGTAAACCTGATCATGAGGGTTTGCAACATTCGTGCTCCGGTAAGATAGATTTGGATGAGCATGCTGGTAGGGGTTGTAGCCCTTGTTGTAACCACCTTGGTTTTGTATGTAGCTGACTTCCGCAGCGTGAGTACTCTCCCCCTCTTGGATTTGATAGTGCTCTTCTTCAGTGATATAGTGGACTTGCTTCTGTTGAGTCAGCAGAATCTTATCCAACTTATCGTTGAGAGCCTTGATATCTTTACTATGCTTCGCATCCGAATCTCCAATACCTCTGTTGGAGCGATCAAAATCTTCATTATAATTACCGTCGGACTGAGCTAAGTTCTCAACCAATTCCCAACCTTCTTCAACAGCCTTATTCAAGAAATTCCCATTTGAAGCAGTGTCCAGGACCATTCTGAACTTGGGCAGAGCTCTTCTGTAGACTGTACTGAGCAAAGAAGCTTTCTTGAAACCGTGATGTGGACATTGTGTAGTGTAGCTTTTGAATCTCTCCCAGGCCTCACAAAAGGATTCAGACTGTTTCTGGGTGAAACTGGAGATTTCATTCCTTAGCCTTGCAGTTCTTGAATTTGAGAAGAACTTTGTCAAGAAGGCTGTCTTACAATCGTCCCAAGATGTTATGGAGTCAGGAGGTAGTGTCTTCTCCCATTGGTGTGCTTTGTCTCCCAGCGAGAAGGGAAACAGACGCAGCTTGAAACCGTCTTCACTAACACCATTTATCTTGGTGAGGCTGCAGAGCCTGTCAAAGTTATCCAAGTGGTCTAAGGGATCTTCCATAGGCAGCCCATGAAACTTGTTTCCTTGTATCATTGAGATCAATCCACTCTTGATCTCGAAATTGTTGTTCTGGACAGGAGGTGGAACTATGCCCTGTCTCTGTTGATGGTTTCTTGGTGCATCCCCAGCACCAATGTTCCTTGGTATCCCAACTCCTTGATTGTCTTGTTCTTGTGGTTCCATGGCTACTGGATTGTGCAGTTCACAACCGTCTCTGGCTCTACGTTCTTTCAACTCACGGGCTAACTGGTTGATGTTGTCTTTGTAGCTGATGAGGTTGCTGGAGCCTTTAGAACGAGTTTGCATGCACAGTGGCTAGTCTCGACGTGTAGACTCGACTTGAGGTCGAGTTGGTACCTGGAGCACAAAAACAAGCAGCTGAAGAGAGTAGTTAGTAACCAAAGTAAAGAAAGAACTTGATCTTAAACGTTTCTGAAATCTTAAATGGAACAATGCAACACAAGACTGGCAACGGCGCCAAATTGATAGTAGGATTTTACTCTCTAACAAGTATCAATCCCTAATACACATGCCATTGTAGTATATTAGGTTATCAATCCAATCTCAGTGTGACTGCAAGCATTCAAGATATGCACAAAAAGAAAATAAGTCAAGCCAATTATGAAAGGGTTTTGTGTGTTTCTATTGATCCTAAGCAACCAATTTAACATGCGAATACCGAATTCGAAAGCATAAGAAAGAGAACTAAACAGCAAGTAAACAAGAGCAAGAAGTAAACTAAAGACCAGAAACTATCATGCATAAGCTTTGGAAAAGAAACTAACAACCTAACAATGCAGGGAAACGCTCTAGGCCTAACAGGTCGAGTAGAACACAAAAGCTAACAGAAACGAGATTTAAACAATTAATAGAAATAAAAGGTCCTGAGGAATGGGATAATCGATTATAGCAGTCTCCTTAGTCTACCTAGGTGGTTAACAAACTCAATCAAGCTATCCCTAGACAAGAGATTCGAATACAAATCAATCCACTCTCGTGACAGAGATTCTCAAGCTAAATCACTTTCATACTCAATTCTCATTGAAGAAATATAACCTAGCAGGCATTATGATTCAATCTAATAAAGTCAATAAGCATTCTAATCATCCAATCTCTTGGGCTAGAGTATGCAAATCTCTGGAAAAGTTTGTTCAGACATTTCATCAAACACCTTGTGAGCGTGGAAATGTCTGAGTTCTATTTCCAATTGATCAGAGAAGAAATAGCATTAATATCTACTAAACCAGAAGGGAAATCAAGCAATTCTACTCTTAACCACCTAAATATACTAAGGATTCCACACCTAATCTAACCCATTCTCAAGAACCCTAATCTACTACTCAAGAACACTGAAGAACATCATGCATAAAAACCCAGAAAATTGCATAAACCCAGAAATCATTAAAAAGCAAGTATGTCATAGATTAGAAGGAGATCTACAACTTTGATGAAGAAACGAAATCCAAAAACTCAAAGGATCAAAGGGAAAAACGATTACAAAACTAGGGTTTTTAGAGAGAGCAGCGGAATATCTGCTGGGTAAAAAGAATATCCCCTGGATAATAGCGTGTACCTCTATTTATAGGAATACTAGGTTGCCCTAATTTGGCTACAAGACAAAATAAGAAGTCGGTGGGTGGTTCAACTCGACGTGTCATCGAGTCCGTGTGGTCGAGTCCGTGTCCAGACAGCTTCCTGACGTCCTACTCGACTTGTCGTCGAGTCCATGTGGTCGAGGGGGAGTGATTCTTCAAAGGGTGCTCCTTGATGGCCTCCTACTCGACCTCACGTCGAGTTGGTGTGGTCGAGTCCAACCCTTGGTGGTTTCTGAGCGCCTGCTCGACCTCCTGTCGAGTCCAACCAGTTTTCTGCATATGTCTCCATTCAAACCACCATAATTCTTGCATCAAAGCTCTGATTCGCTTGACATCACCTCCGTTGGAAACGTAACTCAATTTCCTATAACTTGCATGAAGAGCTCTGAAGCTAAATCGCAATGAAAGACTTCCATCTGAGTCAATCTTTGAGGGACTTCGGACTGGTTCTGAATCATCAATTCTCTTCTTTGCATCCATTAAGTCCCAAATAAGCTCCAAATACCTGAAACACATCCAATATGCAATATGCTATGCCATGCAATGCAAATCGTACTAAGTGATGAAAATGTTATGAAAAGGACTCTGGATGCAATGAAAGAGAGATGAAACTTAGGTAAATGTACGAGAAAAGTGTGCTTAAAAGTGGTAAAATACAGAGACATCAGGTTGCCTTCTTAACAAAGTTCTTCTCAAATTCAAGAACTGCACGTCTAAGGAATGAAATCTCCAGTTTCACCCAAAAGCAGTCTGAATCCATTTGTGAGGCCTGGGAGAGATTCAAAGGCTACACTATACAGTGTCCACACCATGGTTTCAAGAAGGCTTCACTACTCAGCACACTCTACAGGGGAGTTTTGCCCAAGATCAGAATGTTGCTAGACACTGCCTCTAATGGGAATTTCTTGAATAAGGATGTTGAGGAAGGCTGGGAATTGATAGAGAACTTAGCTCTATCCGATGGTAACTATAACGAGGATTTTGATCGCTCCAACAGAGGTATTGGAGATCCGGATGCAAAGCATAGTAAGGAGATGATTCAGGCTCTCAACGATAAGCTGGATAAATTTTTGCTTACTCAACAGAAGCAAGTCCACTATATCACTAACGAAGAGCACTATCAAATCCAAGAGGGGGAGAATACTCAGGCTGCAGAAGTCAGCTACATTCAGAACCAAGGTGGCTACAACAAAGGCTACAACCCTTACAAGCCTGCTCATCCTAATCTATCTTACCGGAGCACGAATGTTGCAAACCCTCAAGATCAAGTTTACCCTCAGCAACAACAGAACCAGTCCAAGCCATTCGTACCATACAATCAAGGCTTTGTCCCAAAGCAACAGTTTAGTGGAGGTTATCAACAACATAATCCACCACCCGGTTTTGCACAGCAACCCCAACAAGCTCCACCTGCACAAGATCAAGACATGAAGCAAATGCTTCAGCAGCTTCTACACGGTCAAGCAGCTGGTGATAAGAAAATGGCTGAGATTCAAAACAAAGTCGACTGCTCCTACAATGATCTAAATGTCAAGTTTGAGGCTCTAAACTCCAAGGTGAAGTACATGGAGAGCCAAGCTGCCTCTACCTCTGCACCTAAACATCCCGGACAACTACCCGGGAAAGATATTCAGAATCCAAGAGAGTATGCTAATGCAATTCAACTCCGCAGTGGTCGAGAGCTGCAAGCTCGACCTAGCCTAGCTCCTGTCACTGAGGACAGTGAGATTCAAGAAGGGGAGGATTCTATTCAGAATGAAACTCAAGAAGAAGACACCACTAAGCTTGACCAGGATGCTGTACCTTGGGATCAAGCTAAGAGTCCCCAAATCGAAAAACCAACTGTTGATAAGGGTAAAAAGAAAGCTTTCGTTCCACCACCATCAAGCCCATTAAATCGAGTCAACCTTCCAATAAGTCAACCTTGGAGCCAAAATTCAAATTCAAATGTGGTCAAACGGTCCTACTCGACCCCACGTCAAGTCAACACCTCGAGTCCAAGCAAAATCCCTCCAAAAATTCAAATTTGAAAGCTGCCGACATACTCGACCCCACGTCGAGTCAGCCACCTCGAGTCCACGCCCAAACCATTCAATTTTCGAATTTGAATCCTAGATCCAACATTTTCTGCCCCCACACGCTCCACCTTTGTCTCTTGGTCTCCTTGGGCGCCTTTAAGAAGGGAAGCACACTCCTCACTCCTCTCATTCTCTCATTTCTTCAATTTCTCTCATTTCTCTCTTATAGCTCTAGTTCTCTCATTTCAACTTTGCTTTGAGTCTTTAAAGCTTTGCAACTTCCTAATCTTTGGTTTTAAACTCGATTTACAACATTTAATCGGTTTAAAATTCACTTCTTCTCCTTCTAAACTTCATTCTCTGCTCTTTTGATTCACTTGCTTTATTTTCTCTACTCTTGCTGAAGGAAACACCATGGATAGTGATCAAGAACAAAAGAGGGTTTCTTCAAGACATGCTGCACGTGGTTTTGCTATTATCAACGAGAGGATTCCAGCCCCTGCTTGGACCGGTCATGCCAGTTTCGTGCGAGAAGATAGCCCCAATCGTGTAGAAAGAGAAATGGTGCTGAATCAGGCCGGTTATGAACCTACTCGACCACACGTCGAGCAGGGACGTCGAGGAGGCTCCTCAAGTTCAAGAGATGACGATGCTGAATGTCTGGCCAGAAGAAGAAGAGAGATAAGCCGCGGGAAAAGGGTTGTGGAAGCGGATTTTGAACCCACACCAGAAGAAGAGACTGTTGAAATGGAGGAAGAAGAAGCTGTTGAAATGGAGGAAGAGATCAAACCTGCTAAGCCAGCCAAAAGGGATAGAAAGAAGAGGAAGCCTCCTACTCCCTAGGAGTACTATAGCTATCTCAAGTCACTGGAGTTCGAAGGCACAAGACATCCTCATCGGGAAACGATGGCTGCTTTGGGAATTGCTGAAGATATAGACTACCTTGCTGAGACGTGCGGTTTAAAAACCTTCCTGGGGTATAGTTTTGAGGGATATCAAGAGGAGACCTGCTAGCTCCTAGCCACTCTCGACGTACACTTCTACGCGGATGAACAAGAAGAAGAGAATGAGAGAGGTTTTGGATACATCACGTTCTCTGTCAAGGGAAGAGACCACTCACTAACGATCAGGGAGCTCAATCTCTTGTATGGATTCCCGAGCAAAGAGGGATTGGTGCAAAATTTCGATAAGCGCGAACTCCAAGCATTCTGGAAGACGATCGCCGGACCAGGAGATTACATACCTTCGAAAAGCAAGAGTTCCTCTATTAGAAGCCCAGTGGTGAGGTATCTACACCAGTCCATTGCTAGCATGTTCTTTGCAAAGAAGATCACCGGTACCATGAGTGAAGGTGAACTGCAGCTTCTGGACTTAGCTCTCCTATTCACCTTAAGAAACACTAGAGATGGAGCAGAAATGGTGGGAGATAGAGGAAATGCCCCTTTAATAGCCGTGTTCTTGGATCATTTATTGGGATACAAGGAGTATGCTGCAACAATGCATAGGTCAGGGCGCAAAGGAAGCTTGACCATTGGCGGAATTCTGACACCAATTCTGGTAGCTGTGGGTATAGATGTGGGAACAGGAGACACTTCCCCAACTTGGATCGATATGGCAAACCTAAGGAAGAAGGGCTACCTTGATAAAACAGCTCCTGCAGGTGTGTTGCTCTATGTATTCAACCACCCTGAAGAAGGAACTTCTAGGCTGCTTCTACCATGCACGAATCATACCACGATTAGGGCTGGTGAGAACATCGACTTTTGCCCACCATCCTTCATTCTCTACGATTCACAAGTCGCCCCTGCCTCTCCACCGCCTCAAGCAATGCACGAGGACGACCAGGAGCAAACCCAAGACGCTCCTGATGATTATGCACCAGAGCGGTTCTTCTTCGAGGAGTACAAAGCCCCTAGGCAGACCAAAAGCGAGAGAGAAGCTCACAAGCGCATAGGACTCCTGCAAGGGTTGGGAAAGTTTCAAGGGAAGGCAATGCGAGGATTGTCAAAGAAGGTAGACTCATTGACCACCATGGTGAAGAAGATGGCGCTTCAGATCACAGACCTCCAAAAGAAGTCCAAGCATTCCCCATAATCATCAGAAGAGAGAGGTACTTTGAGAAGAAGCGGTTCCTCAAGCATGGCTCCAAGACACGCGGTAAAGGCTGATCCTCCAAGATATTCATCCTTTGAACCCCGCCAGAGGGAAAGCCAAGAGGAGTCTGCACAACTCCCCAAACGTTCGCAAAGGCATCGCAGCAAGCGGAAGGTTCAGCGGCCAAGTCCAGAGACAGACTCGACCATGGAGCTCGATGACACGTCAAGTCTGCACGTCGAGCAGCCTGCTCCAGAGCCAACTAATCCTCCCTACATGCAGGACAACACCGACGTCGAGCAGCCTCTTCCAGAGTCAAGCACAGCTCCTTCTTACACGCAGGAGAGCATGGATGAGTTCCTCCACACCTACTTCGGATAAAACCAAAGTATCACTCATCCCCCTAAACCATTGTACTATTTCATTGCATTAGTTTGCTTTTCTGTTTCGTTGTTTGTTTCTCTTGAGCTCTCTTCTGAATTTTTATTACACATGGGACTGTGTAATTTAAGTTTGGGGGAGGGTCCAAGAAGTATTTGATGTTGTGATCTGTTTTCTTATTGCATAATCATCTAAGGCATAGAAAAACCAAAATTTTTTGAAAAATTTCAAAAATTGTAATACAAAAGAAGAGTGTTCATGTAGTTCGCATTGCCATTTTAAGACTGTTTTAGTATGCTTTCATTTAAGACTGTTGCATCATGCATTTGCATTGGAGATTATGATGATTATAACCTTGTAAATATGCTTATTCACTAAGTAGAACTCAGTGCCCAGGTTGTTAGTTCTCTAATGCATAATCGACTGAACTTGAAGTAAGACCGCACCATCTTTTGAATTCAACGCTTGACTTTCTTGTTTTAATCGAACTCGCTTTGATCTGACGCCATTCCCTATCTATTTGAACTTGAATTGTGACTTATAATTATCATGCTGTGCATTGTGCTATGAACTCATGGATACCTTAAAATACTTGGACTTTCTTTTACCTTTTGATCACTCTTGCTAGTCCAAGTAGCTGACTCCCACCTTTGGAGCAGTTATTCCCCACCCTTAGCCCTAACCTTCCTTCAAGCCATTTATCATTTATGTGTGAATGTGAGGCCTTATTCCGATTGAGCTTGGTAGAAAGTGTTAGGTCTGTAACGACAAGGATAGTATCTCATGTAGTTCTGGTTCACGCTATCTGGACTAGATAGGACTAGGTGGGTGCTTAATTCTGGCTTTGGGTTGTGTTTAAAAGAAAGAAAAGGTTGTGTTCATCATTGAGAGAAAAGAAAAAGGGAAATGAGTCCTTAGGAGAAGTAGCTAAAGTAAGAAAAGTCTAGTAAAGGATTTGGGTGTGCGAAAGTAAAGAAAAGGGGTTCTGTAAATAGCTTAAAGAGAATGGGCAAAAGCCTTGTGTTTATGAGAAGAAAGAAAAGGGAACCCTAGTTGTTAAAGAATCCTAATCCGCTAGACAGAGCAAAGTAAGAAAGCTTCTCCTAGGATAGAAAAGCAAAGAAAAGAAAGGAATAATGTGAGTAAAAGTCTGTAAATGCTTTGAGTGCAAAAGGGTAGAGTTAAGTTCATGTTCTGGGATTAGAAATAGGACCTCCATTTGAGTTGATATTGATTACATTCTGGGTAGATGGGGTCTTATCCTTGTATGCATAACTTGATACTCACCTTTAGCATTCTACTAAAGCTCAATCATTCTTGAGAGATCCCCTGTTGCGATTTAAACCAGATCTTTAAGGGACCATCTTTGTCTCTAAGCCTCTACCCTTAAGCCAAATGTGTTCATATCCAATGCATAGTATGATTCACGGTTCCTACTTAATCAATGTTAAAGGGAATGTGCTGATTTGAATGCTTGAATTGATTAAGGCAGAGGTTAGGTTGAGATGTGAAGGAGATGGCTAATGTTTTTAAGTAGAGATCAGTCAACCTTGCATTCTAGAATTAGCAACCTGGACATTGAATTCACTTACTCTATGCATGTTTTGGTTCTGAGTCTCCACCTTCAAACCTCTTCTCCAGCTTAGTTCTATTTGTTTGCTTGAGGGCAAGCAAGAGCTAAGTTTGGGGGAGTTGATATCTCTGTATTCTACCACTTTTAAGCACACTTTTCTCACGCATTTAGCTAAGTTTCATCTCTCTTTCATTGCATCCAGAGTCCTTTTCATATCATTTTCATCACTTAGTACGATTTGCATTGCATAGCATAGCATGTTGCATATTGGATGAGTTTCAGGTGCTTTGGAGCTTATTTTAGGACTTAATGGAGCAAGGAGAAGCCACACAACCTTGGAGCTAGACTTGGGATCGAGTTGGAGAGGAATGAAGCCATTCAAGAGCATCCAGAACCGGACTCGACGTCATGGGCTCGACAGGAGGTCGAGCTAGTGCCCAGAAACCACCGAAGGACAGACTCGACCTACCAGGCTTGACGACACGTCGAGTAGGACGTGAAGAAGCTGTGGAGGAGCGGACTCGAGCACATGGACTCGACGACACGTCGAGTTGGACATCAAGCCGCCACCTTTGAAGAAGGACATGGGCTCGACGTGGCAGACTCGACGTCACGTCGAGTTGGTCTCCGCCGACTCTCTATTTTGTCCTATAGCTAATTAGGGCAACCTAGTATTTCCTATAAATAGGGGCTCACCCTATTGTCCAGCGGATATTCATTTTACCCAGCAGATATTCAGCTGTTCTCTCAAAAACCCTAGATTTTGTAATCGTTTTTCCTGTTGATCCTTTGAGTTTTTGAATTTCGTTTCTTCATCAAAGTTGTAGATCTCCTTCTAATCTATAACATACTTGCTTTTTAATGATTTCTGGGTTAATGCAATTTTCTGGGTTTTTATGCATGATGTTCTTCAGTGTTCTTGAGTAGTGGATTAGGGTTCTTGAGGATGGGTTAGATTATGTGTGGAATCCTTAGTATATTTAGGTGGTTAAGTGTAGAATTGCTTGATTTCCCTTCTGGTTTAGTAGATCTTAATGCTATTTCTTCTCTGATCATATGGAAATTGATTTCAGACATTTCCATGCCCACAAGGTGTTTGATGAAATGTCTGAACAAACTTTTCCAGAGATTTGCATACTCTAGCCCAAGAGATTGGATGATTAGAATGCTTATTGACTTTATTAGATTGAATCATAATGCCTGCTAGGTTATATTTCTTCAATGAGAATTGAGTATGAAAGTGATTTAGCTTGAGAATCTCTGTCACGAGAGTGGATTGATTTGTATTCGAATCTATTGTCTAGGGATAGCTTGATTGAGTTTGTTAACCACCTAGGTAGACTAAGGAGACTGCTATAATCGATTATCCCATTCCTCAGGACCCTTTTATCTCTATTGATTGTTTAAATCTCGTTTCTGTTAGCTTTTGTGTTCTGCTCAACCTGTTAGGCCTAGAGCGTTTCTCTGCATTGTTAGGTTGTTAGTTTCTTTTCCAAAGCTTATGCATGATAGTTTCTGGTCTGTAGTTCATTTCTTACTGCTTAGTTTTCTTTCTTATGCTTTTGAATTTGGTACTTGCATGTTAATTGGTTGATTAGGTTGAATAGAAACACACCAAACCTTTTCACAATTGGCTTGACTTATTTGCTTTCTGTTTCATATCTTGAGTGCTTGCAGTCACACTGAGATTGGATTGATAACCTAATATACTACAATGGCATGTGTATTAGGGATTGATACTTGTTAGAGTAAAATCTTACTATCAATAACCACAAAGATTTGAGAGGCAATAAGAAGCTTGGTTAGTGTTTTTGGAGTCAAATATGACTAGATCACGTGTGTATGATTGGGTATAACACCTAGAATCGCAACCGGATCCCGTAAGCTAAAGTAGTGTTTTTTCCGTTTAGAAACTCCAAAACCGAAAACTCATAGGACTTCGGCCATAACCACAAAGCTTTGAGAGGCAATAAGAAGCTTGGTTAGTGTTTTTGGAGTCAAATATGACTAGATCACGTGTGTATGATTGAGTATAACACCTAGAACCGTAACGGTATCCCGTAAGCTAAAGTAGTGTTTTTCCGTTTAGAAGCTCCAAAACTGAAAACTCATAGGACTTCGGCCATACCCACAAAGCTTTGAGAGGCAATAAGAAGCTTGGTTTGTGTTTTTGGTGTCAAATATGACTAGATCACGTGTGTTTGATTGGGTATAAGGACTAGAACCGCAACCGGATCCCGTAAGCTAAAGTAGTGTTTTTTCCGTTTAGAAGCTCCAAAACCGAAAACTCATAGGACTTCGGCCATAACCACAAAGCTTTGAGAGGCAAGCAGAAGCTTGGTTAGTGTTTTTAGAGTCAAATATGATTAGATCACGTGTGTATGATTGGGTATAACACCTAGAACCCCAACCCGATCCCGTAAGCTAAAGTAGTATTTTTCCGTTTAGAAGCTCCAAAATCAAAAACTCATAGGACTTCGGCCATAACCACAAAGCTTTGAGAGGCAATAAGAAGCTTGGTTAGTGTTTTTGGAGTCAAATATGACTAGATCACGTGTGTATGATTAGGGTATAACACCTAGAACCGCAAGCCGATCCCGTAAGCTAAAGTAGTGTTTTTCCGTTTAGAAGCTCCAAAACCAAAAACTCATAGGACTTCGGCCATAACCACAAAGCTTTGAGAGTCAATAAGAAGCTTGGTTAGTGTTTTTGGAGTCAAATATGACTAGATCACGTGTGTATGATTGGGTATAACACCTAGAACCGCAACCGGATCGCGTAAGCTAAAGTAGTGTTTTTCTGTTTAGAAGCTCCAAAACCGAAAACTCATAGGACTTCGGCCATAACCACAAAGCTTTGAGAGGCAATAAGAAGCTTGGTTTGTGTTTTTGGTGTCAAATATGACTAGATCACGTGTGTTTGATTGGGTATAAGCACTAGAACCGCAACCGGATCCCGTAAGCTAAAGTAGTCTTTTTCCGTTTAGAAGCTCCAAAACCGAAAACTCATAGGACTTCGGCCATAACCACAAAGCTTTGAGAGGCAATCAGAAGCTTAGTTAGTGTTTTTAGAGTCAAATATGACTAGATCACGTGTGTATGATTGGGTATAACACCTAGAACCGCAACCCGATCCCGTAAGCTAAAGTAGTGTTTTTTCCGTTTAGAAGCTCCAAAACCAAAAACTCATAGGACTTCGGCCATAACCACAAAGCTTTGAGAGGCA